AAATCCACAGCAGGGGAGCATTATGACACACTAAGATTCCTGACGTCATCACTGAAAAGTATTTGATATTGAGCAGTGCAAGAGGTGGAAAGAGAAAATGTATGGCACATATATATAAAAACCTAAGTTCTAACTATATATGTGTAAAGTGAAGTAATGGGATATTTTTAATGAATGAGAGAAATTCATTAAGATGTGGGGTCTGTTACTGGATGGCTTTACATTCATTGAACTTCAAATAATGCAACTGAACCACAACCGATCGATACCATTCTTGCATGATTTTGGCATGAAAATTGGATGCAGGCAAAATGAAATTTATTAAAATCTACCCTATTTTAGTTCTCTTAAAAAAACCAACTCAAAAATCTAATAAAAATCAAACCATTTTGGACATTAATTAAACACAGGAAACTGAAGGTTTATACCAAAGCTTATATTTAAAAACTAAATTAAAGCTTACTTTGGCAAATTGTTCCTACTGGTCATTTGGGAGGGGTAGGGAAATTGTTCAGACAGAAGGAAGAATAGGAAGAACTTGCTTGTCTTGGCTACTTTCTCTGATTTTTCCATTCTCTTCTCCTGTGTGTAACACCCACAGATTTCCTAATGAGATGGTATGCGACCCACCACACACTGCTGTGTGGGTGTAACTTAAATGAAAAAGAAACGTAAATGAACAAGTAGCATGCATGGATATTTATATTATGTGCCACAAAACTGAAAGGTGGTATTAAATAATATTAAACATAATGTAACATTAATACTAAAAAGAAATTGTGATAAGTGAAAATTTTCTCTCCCAAATAGTTACAGTAGCCAGTTTAAGAATAGTCTTCGCTTCTCAACAGATCTAGACAGCAGGATGAGATCTGCTCATTAAAGTAAGGTAGCTTAGCTTTTATTTCTTTAAAAAATCCTAACATAACTATTTTGATCACTGAATCATAGAATGTGTTGGGTTAAAAGGAACCTTTAGAGGTCATAAGAGGTAGTCTAAAATCTAAAAAAATCTAATACTGGTCTAATTATTCTGATTCTAATAAATTTTGAATACATCCTGCAATGTAGAAAGCAAACTAACCAAAATTCACTTGAAAAGATTCAAGTTTAAATAGGGGTGGAACCTAACCTGCGGTACTTGAATTGGTAAATATGCTCATCCTTGCAATAGCAGGAGTTTTACAGCAGTGAATTTTTACAGACATGCATAACTTTGAGCAAAGGAAACCCCATACAGCTTGAAGAGCTTAAAAACTCTTAATAACCTCCAAATGCAACAATAGCTGCAAGCTTCAACACTTCAGCAGCAGTACCTACATTATGTGTATATAGTTGGTATGCGGCTAGCACATCTTTTTGTGTACTACAAAACACTGTAGGCCAAACATTGGCCAGCTATCTTGCACTTCATCTGTTTGTGGGAAAAAACCAACCAACCCCATAAGAATATAGCTTTATACTCTGCAAACAGAAGCTATGATGCTAGAGAGGAAGAAAAATACAAAACGTTTTGGAGCCATAGTTGAGTGATGATAACTGCTAAAGACTGTGGCTTACCTAAAAGGGTCAGTCCCTTAGAGGTAGGTCCCAGTTGCTCCAGTGAACACCCATTTATTCTGTTATTTCCTTCTCAGCTAAGAACAGACTTGAATGTAACTTGAATAAACTTGAATCTTGGACTTGAACAAAGCACTCCTTTCTTACAAATTACAGCCCTAAGCAAAACAGGCTGAGAGAAGAGGAAAGAGAGAGATTTGGAAATTAAGTTCAACATGAATGTTCATTATCACAGACTGCTGTCTTCCTTTATTTCTTTAGCGTTAATTAATGACAGTGAGATTAACTGCAGAAATCTGATGGAACAGTAATTCTACCTCATCCAAAGTAAATATTCTTTAATCTCAAACTGTCACAGATATTACTGATCATGTCCTCAAATGTATATCCTTAAGTTACTAATTTTCACGAAATAAGGGGAAGAGTCAAGCAGAAGATCATTTCACAACCCTGGGATCAGCATACCAGTATTTTTACTGAAAAGTTCATGATCTAAAAGAAAATATGAGACCCTAAAGTCTCATGAACACCCTCAAATCAGTGTTGCATCTGTCTCCATACATAGGTGATCAGGCCTAGTCAGCATGGGTTCAGGAAGGGCAGGTCCAGCTTGACCAACCTGATCTCCTTCTACAACAAGGTGACCCACCTAGTGCACGAGGGAAAGGCTGTGGATGTTGTCTACCTGGACTTTAGTAAGGCCTTTGACACAATTTCCCACACCATCCTCTTGTAAAAGCTGGCTGGGCACGGCTTGGACGGGCATATGCTTCACTGAGTAAAACACTGGCTGGACAGTCAAGCACAGACAGTTGGCAGCCAGTCACAAGCAGCGCTCCCCAGGGCTCAGTTTTGGGGACAACTGTATTGAATATCTTTATAAGTGACATGGACAAGGGAATTGAGTGCACCCTCACAAGTTTGCAGACGACACTAAATTGGGTGGTCATGTCAATCTGCCAGAGGGTAGACAGGCTCTTATAGACAGATCTGGACAGGCTGGATCCATGGGCCAAGGCCAACTGCATGAGCTTCAACAAGGTCAAGTGCTGGGTCCTGCACCTGGATCACAACAACGCTATGAACACTACAGGCTTGGGGAAGAGTGGCTGAAGAGCAGCCTGGAGGAGAAGGACTGTGGGGGATGGCTGACAGCCAGCTGAACATGAGCCAGCTGTGTGCCTAGGCAGCCAAGAAGGCGAATGGCATCCTGGCCTCTATGAGAAATAGTGTGGCCAGCAGGAGTAAGGAAGTGATTGTGACCCTGTACTCAGCACTGATAAGGCTGTGCCTTAAATACTGTACTGAGTTTTGGGCCCCTTACTACAAGAAGGAAATTAAGATGCTGGAGAATGTCCAGAGAAGAGCAAAGAGGCTGGTGAAGGGTTTAAAGCACAAGTCTTATGAGGTGCAGCTGAGGGAGCAGGGGTGGTTTAGTCTGGAGAAAAGGAGATAAAGGGGAGATCTTATCACCCTCTACAACTACCTGACAGGACATTGCAGCAAGGTGAGTGTTGGTCTCTTCTCCCTGGAAGCTAGTGACAGGACAAGGGGAAATGGCCTCAAGTTGTGCCAGGGAAGGTTTAGGTTGGATATTAAGAGGAATTTCTTTACTGAACATATTATCAAAGCACTGGAACAGGCTGCCCAGGGAGGTGGTGAGTCATCATCCCTGAAGGTGTGTAAAAGACGAGTGGACATTGTTCTTAGGGGCACACTCCAGTGGCAGACTTAGTGAGGCTGGATCAATGGTTGGACTCAAAGATCTTGAAGGTCTTTTCCAACCAAAAACATTCTATGATTCTATGAAAACAATTCTCATGTCTGGCAGTTTTATCTTATAAAGTCATTGTTTTTGAAAACTTACTTTTTACCGAGACAGGAAATTTAAAAAAATAAATAATAAAAAATACCACTTGGTAAACAGAAACATAAGAAAACCTCAACAAATGTCAGAAATTCTGATCCCACCCACTGTAATGTCCCTCTGCTTTCACTGGAAGAAAATTCTGTTTGTTCACTCAAAACCAAAAAAGTATGGGGATCATGTGTTTTATATACATTAATAATATTTTACAGGGATAAAATGTAGTTATAAATTGCAAGGGAAAAAAGAGCTTGAAAAATCCTTTAGTGTCCTGAAGTACTTTTTACTTATGCAGTACTGTGTTCTTGTGGGTGGAAAAATACCCCTCTGGTCATGCCATAACAATCTTCCTCCCATATATGCCTAAAGTTTTGCAATATTAAGCAAACCATACAGTATTTAACCTTTGTTTCCTTATTAAAACACTCATTAAAACTGATAATTTTTAAAGCTGTAACTATCAACTAGAATTCTATAGGAACAGAACTTCTTAATAAATGAAAATATTTTGTGAGGCAAAGAATTTGTTCAGAATTAAAACTGTTAATATGATATACATTAAATTAAAACATTTGTGTTAGTATACTGGTTGTATATTTTAAGTATGTAATTACATTCATTGCAGAATTCTTATTTCAGTAGAGATCTATTTCAATATGTTTAAGGAAATGTGAGAAACCATAGCCAACACAGGGTTTTACTTTCACCTCTTGCTGCTCTTCTTTTTTGTGACCAGTTTATAACATACTGCAGACTGATAATAAAAATAGATTTTAAAGTCTTATTTCCTAAGAACTACTTTAAAAAGAAATTGCTTTTGTGCTAGAACACCAACAGATAAGCCTATCAACTGTAAAACCCACCATGATGACCAGAACAGCTAGTGAAATTACATTAAACAAAAAATGGCAAGCCATTTAGCCCCAAAGCTGATCCACAATTGGAGCACGAGCTACTGTGATCATTATCTTTAGTTTAAAACATGCATGTACTCAAATTGCACTTATTAGTCTTCTCCATTGTCACAGACAGGAAAAAAAAAAAAGAAAATGTTTCACTTGGGTGAATGCTGCTATTACTGTTCTCTTCTGCACACTAATTACTCCCATGGTCATCAATGCTACTGCCAAACCTTCAGTAACATCAGTGAAATGTCAAATTCCACTTATCACATCATAGCAGCTTTTTAAGAATGAACAGGTTGTCAGAAGAGGGAGAAATAAAGATACTACTTCTAAATTAAAAACTTCTAAACTAATGTTCAAATACAAAGGAGACTTGACAAACCAGCAAGATTTCCATCAATTTTGGAGGATCCAGGATTACACCATTTACTAATTCTAATGATAGGTTCCCATACTAATAGTACAAGAGTTATGTTCATTTTTCAATTATGTAGAAAATTAAAACCCACTCAGTATTTTCAGTAACATTGCTGAAGTAATTTCAGACCCAAACACCAGGTATTTCAAGCTTACTGGCTTTACTGGTGGCAAATTTCTCATGGAAAAAATAAACAGCAGCAGTTTCCACCATACTTTAATTTCACAGTAAATTAAATAAATTATTTTACCAGTAAGAAACAAAGGACCAGAGGGTGCATGTTCCACTGATTTCCATTGACCACGCTGTTTAGGTGCTTCCAAGTAGTGTCTGACCCTTGAAGCAACAACTTCTTCTAGCAGCATGCAGACCTCCTGAAAGAGTAACCATCAGCCTGCTTAGATCTAAATTTACATACACGCCCACAGACAGGCAACAGAAATCAATACAAAAATCACTCTTTTTCACATAAAAAGGAAAAACATCTGCAATTAAGTACTGAGGTATTACATGGAAGGGAGAAGTACACAATTTAGGAAGTGAACAGGAACAAGCTGGGGGGAAAACAAACAATTTTGCTACAGAACCAGAGAGGAACTACATTACGAAATTCTCACTTGGCAGATGAGATACATTATATTACAATGCTAATCTTTTTTGAACAGCAAAACTGTTTCATTTATATGCAAAGTAGGAAAAAATACATGGTAAAAACATATCATAACATCAGACATTTAAGCAAAATATCAGTAAAAATCCTCTCAGAAATTAACAATACACTATTTATCTGCAAGAATCCTTATAAACCACAACAGACATTTTGGTTCAATTCAGTGTAATTTTAGGGGTAAGACTCAGAGTTAATTAGGTCACAGCAATCTAATTTCTCTGCTTCATTTTTATTGTTCTGCTCCTAAACATAACTGTTCATATCTTTCATACTTCCTTCAGCAAAGCACAATAAAAACCACATACAACTTAAGAAGAACAAACTCTTCAGCCAGAATAACCATAGAAAGTACTTGGAGTAAAAGCAAAAAATTAATCTCCTGAATATCGGAGTAAGTTTTCAGATTAATACACACACACATATTTGAGACTTTTCCCTCAGTATTCTCATTTTCCATTGTGCCTAACTATGTGTTCACAGAAATGATACTTTGTGGTACACAAAAATATCATTTTACTTTTTACAGTATTTGGACAATAGACAAAATTATATTAATACCATCTAAACTAAAATAACTTGGCTTAAAATTTACTGTTGATTAATCTAGAAAGTATGCACAGCAACAGATTTTTAATGTATCGCTCTACATGAAAGCAATGCATACATTTTAGTCAACCACAAACAGTATTTTCTCCTTACAGTAAGAAATAATTTTTCCTTTCTGCTTGGAGAGTACAATTATAAAATACTGTATCTACTCATTCTTCTGTTTAACTCATTAAAGTGATCTCATTACACATTCCTTCACATGACTATGCATTCAGGTTAGAATGAAAAGGTCTAGAAGGCAGCGGAGACACAACAGGCATTTGGTTCCTTCTACAAGAGTAAAGATTAGCATGCGCTTCCTTAATGTACAAGGAAAATACTTTAGTTGTTATGCTTATGGAAATACTATTTAAATGCTTCTCCGCAAAGAACTATATAGACCTACATCCAAGAAAGTATCAACAAGAGCAGGCTTCAAGAGAATAGTCTCTGTGCACTTTCCACCACTAAAAAGAACTTGTAACCAAGACCACCTATATGCACACAGAGAGATTATAGCAATGACTCAGACAAAAATCAGTTTAAAAATTGTTTCTCAAAGTACTTTGTTATTCCAGGGGAAAAGAGATAGGGCAAAACGGGCAAGTAAATCTGAAAGGCAGAAAAGAAAGAGAGAAAAGGTCCCCAGATGCCTCGCTTTGCATCTCGCAGCAATCCCAGCATGACTCTATACACAACTCAAGAGAGCAGTGTGCAAACTGTGGTCTTCACAGTGCTCAGTCAGACAGTATGTTCTATATTTTTTTGCACCAGCCTCATGCTTATGGGCACTCATTCAGTTCCCAGCAGCTGAGAGGCCAGCATCCAGGCCTCCTCCTGCCTGGAACCACATTGCCAACCCAGGCTCTGCCATCCCTTTTCCACTGTAGTGTCTCTGCCCACCTAACAGCCTTCCAGGTGCCTCCATCTCCTGCAAACAGCAGCCACTGACTTTCATCGAGGGTTAGCAGAGGACCAGCAGAAACCATGCTTGTGTTGCAAGGGGTCTAAGAGGCATCTGCTTTTCCCACAAACAAGCAAAAATAGCACAACTGGTATTTCCCAGAATTTGGAAACAACAAAAATGCAGAAAAATACTTGCAACGAATATGTAAAAGCTCTCATAAAAAAGTAATCTGTAGGCATAATTTGCCTGTAGTATCTTACTGACCTTTTTCTTCTCACTTTGACAAGCCTCTGCATAGGACTTGCAGGAAGCGAACTGTAAAGTTATTGGAATCACACTTGGTTGTTGAAAATATGCAACCTTTGTACTTCACCAAAATGCGCGGTCACAGAAATTTAATGAATGCTGCCCTGTCATGCCTCTTTTTTAAATCAATCATGATCTAATTTCCTGAAATTCATATCTTTTGTTTTGGCAGCCTTACAAAATACATTTTGAAAACACTTAAAAGTCAGATAACCAGGAGAGCAAAACCACTTATAAATAGAAGGGGTAATGAGTACTCATTTAGTCAGAAAAAAAAAAAAAAGAAGTCTAAAAGATTTCCCCTGTTTTCTTCTTAGTCTGCCTACTAAAGCACAAATCAGATGAACCACATACTATTAAATATTCTGCTTTTACTCTCCCAGGATATTAATTTATTATTTATTTTAACTTTATTTAAATGTATTACTTTGAGACATACAGGGATGCTCTGTAGTGACAAGTTAATTATGCCATTATTAGGAAAGCTATCTGCTGAAAATTACCGTAACAGAGACTTGCGGGAAAGTCCACAGGCATCTGAAACATGTCCTGCATTCATTTTCAACAGGGAACTTCTCAAGTTCCCACACAGACTGAAACAGGGGAAAACTCCCACTAGTAACTCATCACAAGGTTATAGCAGAAATCACACAGAATCTGATGAAAGTTACATTCATAATTTTGCTAGTCACTGATGGCACTGATTTCCCAAAATTTAATCTGTTTTCAGGATATGTAAATGATACTCTTTAAAAACTGACTGGGAGTTTCTTTTTGCAAGACACAATTATTCTACTATAGTTTGTCATGTATAATCATATTTTCTTGCACTTTTTAAATGCAACATCATTCACAATTCTTGGAACAAGAAAAAACAATTAATAGAAAGATATTTCAACAACAAGCTCTGCAAAAATGACACTTGTCACAATCTTGTTTTATACCACTCAAAATAATTCGAAAACACTCATGAGAGATATGTTTTTAAATTTAGAAGTCAGAAGAATCAAAACAGCATGCACACATGCATGTATGCACACACACACACACACACACACACACACACACACACACAGAGTTTAAAAATTAAAAGGCAAATTGAAAGTGGTCATTAGTGACCCAAAAAGCACATATGGCTGACTTCAGGGTCCCACAGCAACCACTGACAGTTAGGTATATTCTCAATATTCTCACAACACCGAAAAATTCTGAATGGTTGAAAGCAATTCAGCTTTTTGCCTGCAGCCACATGCTTTTGAAGTAGAATTGATATTTGTTGTACCTCTTTCTCATGATCTGAAAACCAGCTGGTGTCTTTACTGGAGCCTTGAGGCAAAACATGAACATCCACCAAAACAGCAAAGTTCCCACACTGGAAAAAAAAAAAGTTCAACTGTAGCTGCTAGGAAGCACATGTTGAGCAGACATGGAGGTAAACAATCAGGTAACCATATGCATCTGATTCAGAGATACAGCAGGCAGAACATAAAACTGTGGAAGTTTATTATCAAGTATGGAATTACAAATTTACCATTGTTTGTGGGCTTAACGAGAAACAAGAGTACCAGATATATATATCTTGGATAGTTCGCTGGAAAGTTTAAACAGTAACAACAAGTACATGGAATTTTCTTCTGCTATCTATATGGCACTTTTAAATCAGAGTTCAAGCAAACTTTAACATGTGAAAAATTAGCTATTCCTTCACGAAATTCCCATCATTCTATTTTCTGAGAATTAAGTACCATATTAGTTATCTAGTTGTATTTTAAATTTATTAAGTCCTTAAAAATTCTGCCTCTTTTTAAAAATTTTCCTCTCTCCAAACTATCTAATGTAAAGAACAGCAAGTTTGAAGAACTTCTGGTAATTACCTAATATTCATTGACATCTGTCATTTAGCCAATAGTATACATAGAATTTTAACAAGGCTAACCTATTAATAAACACTATATATATATAGCTGTTAGGATGCTACAGGCTATATCCCAAGACACATCAACTATTTCTGAAATTTCTTAATCGGCCATAATTGGGGACAGTGTGCCATACATGGTTTAATTAATTTCTTTTGTCAGTGCATCAGTCATTACGATGACCTTCTAATATAAGCAAGAGTGAACGGCACAAATACATCTCCTTACCTCTGCTGTGCACTAACTCACTCCTAGCAAAAGAATACTGCCTCTTTTCATGCACAGAGGTAGGGTGCATTACAAGCTAATGCTTTGCCTTTCTACTGGAACACAGCACCAAATATCACTCAGACATCCTTTAACTAAAAAACTTTCGAGGTAAAAGCTAATTCTGTTCTGGCTGCTTGTGTTGCACTGGTGATGCAATAAACTCACTCTTTAGGAAGCTTGGAAATATGCAGTCATGGCAACTGCACATCCAGAACGTCTGATGGAATAGAAACAACATCCTGATTCCAGACAAATCTCAAATGCCTGTGTACAACCAGCATTAGACAGTTTGCGTTTCAAGTGGACATTGCAGCGCACGCTTCCTGTTCTAACTCTTTCTCCATATTTGCTCTTCTCTGCCAAACATCTGCAAACTCTAGGATGGAATTTCGACTGCTAACAGAATTAGTTCTAGAAGTAGTTTTTACTCTATAGTTGTACATTACCTACAGCCTAAGAGATACATCTGTATCTTAGGCTTATGGTATAGCAGAAGTACAGTACTGGAGAGTACCTGTACCTGTGCAGTTAGTACAAAGAACAAGAAGATTTAGCATCAATTTTATTAAATAGAACAGCATATTTGGTAAATCAGAAATGTCTAGCTCTACAAAGCACATCAATGTGTAATTTATCCATGAACAGAAGTATTTAAATGATTTAAATAAAATTACAATATCATCAATGACCAATATTGTATCTAAACTAGAACGCATAAGCTCAGCACATGAAACAGGCATTGTAAAATCAGTTTGACAAACTTCTAAGTTACTTATAGGTACTAGTCACTGAAAGAACAGAATGCTTTGATCTATTTTATCAAAAGGCTTCTCTTTTCTCCAGAGAACCAAGAATTACCAGATGGCTGCAAAAGCAAATCTCCCCAAGCTTTAAGTTGATGACAAAATATCTCTCAAAAATCTCTAGTGAATCATTTGTCAGCTTCAGCAAACTTTGAGTTGACTACTGAACTTCAAAGTTAGCAGACACTGTATATTATAAAGAGAAAGTCATTAAATTATTCATGGTTCAGCACTCATAACAACGAACAAGTACTTGATACATCACAAAAATTCAAATTATCAAATGCTACGTGTTAACTTGCATCATTTCCTATTGAGTACAGAAACTTTATCTAAAGATACAGATACAAAATATAAAGCTGTTTTTCAAGGAGAGATGTTTGCAATTACTTTCTTTTGAATGGCAATATTTGTCTCATTTGCCAATCTTGAAACAATTGGAAAAAGAAAATAACTAACCAAGTTTGAAACTATATAATGGAACAGTTCAAAATTATCTTAAAAATATTACAAACAGACCAAACATTTGTAGTACTTCAAAGAAAAACAAATATATATAAATAATGCGTAAATCCTTGCAATAGACAAGCGTTCCCAATGGAAGATTTCTATCCCTGAGTTTTGGAACACCCTCCTTGCAGAGAGCATACCTGGAACAATTTCAACATCAAAAAGCCAACACTTTTGCCACTCAATTAGAACAGCTCAGGACAGGATGCAGGGAAGTATAACTGTCACAGACAAAGAGGAATAAGGAGAGTAAGAGAATATAAGCACAGATCTTTCTGGGTCTCATTACCTCCTATTCTTCCTAACTCATGAACAAGAAATAAACAACAGCTCCCATGCAGGCTCCTTTGCCTTCTGAAATTATACAATACATTGTGTACCCTCCGCCTGTATTTATACTTTATATGCCCACACATGGTACAGCTTTATGTATGAGATTTACAGCTTTGACTGCTCCATCAGTGAAGGAAGAGTTTTCTGTACAGACTAAATTCCAGTGGAAATATTAACAGATTTGATGATCTTATAAAAGTTTCTAAGTACTTTTTATTTTCATTCTGAAGACAGATGATTCCATGAAAATACTAGTTTTTATTTTAGAGAAAATGAAGCGTTACCACTCGTGGCTGCAAGAATCAACTTGTGACTCCTAAGTGCTATAACTGAAAAGCAAACAAAAAGAACAGAAATGTTTTATTTTATATGTTTTCAAACTATCAAAATTTGCACTGGAAATGGTTATTTTTGAGGCGTGATTGTTAAAATTGAAACCTGTACACCTGATTTGTTAGGAAACATTTTCATCAAGTATCACTAGAAGAACATTTCACTGAAAAATTAAAGACAGAAACAGAGGCACCAATTTGAGATCCTCCATAACTTTAGAATCGGAAAGCTCAAATTTTTTTTTAATAATTCAAAAAACTCTTCAGTTTTACAAGCTGTTTTTTAATGTTATTAGACTGTTACAGTAAGTACATTAACAGTCATTGTTATTAAACAAAGAGATTTAAACAATCTCAGAATGTTGTTAGTGTATTGTTGTACAGTAATGGCATCTAATTCAGAACATATTTTCAGGAATCAAACTGTTTATACTAACATACCAAACACTTGGTAGATTCTGCAAATGGAAAAGATGCAACAAATGGAATGAATACAAATGCAAAGTGGTAAGTCAGTCAAGGAAATTCATCTGCTCATAACCTGTTAAAACCTCAGCCCCAGATAAGCATGGTGGATTACTATCTCAAATTCCCCAAGGAGCAGATAAACCCAAACAAATACGTTTTATTGCTATACTCTTTTTTTTTTTTATAATCAGGGTGCTCCTACATAGGCATTCTCTCTTTAAACTGAATCTCTTCAAATAGCATAAAAACAGTCATTATAGACAAAAATACTTGGGATACTGGGGATAAGCATGGTGAGTTTGTATTCAATTACCTCATTCCAAATGTGCTGTATCATTAAGCCAGACAGGACTGGAGAGCCAGCCTCCCAAGACACATATTAGCATTTCCCATTTCTGTGATTATGCTACAGATGCGGGCTCCAGGGTCAGAATTAACTGAAGTTCAGTTGAAAAGGAAACATATGATAGTTTGGCTAGCTTTTGGGGGCAGGTGGGAAGGAGGCTAGCTGTAACTGTCACACATGTTTTCACTTTCCAGCAGGACAGCTGCAAACATAGGTGACACTATCAGTATAATAATAGCAGTTAGCTTGAAGTTTGCTGCCTCTGCTTCAGATCAAAAGGGTCTTTGTAGTACCAAAAGCTTGAGGAGTTTCTTATATTAACTGGTCTACAGAAAGACAACCCCTTTCCCTATAAACCCTGCTTTGTTTATAGTCAATTTTAATTAAAGATGTCCTACTCTGTAAAACTTTAGTTCTCCAGGTTAAGCATATAGGGACTGTTTCTTTCTAAATTTACTTCTTCCTTTAAAGTTGTGGTATTTAGTTACAGTGATCATTTTATTCCACTCATGACAACAGTTGAAAAAAAAACACCTACATGCTGATAATCATTCAAAACTACCATAATGCTGGAAAAGACTTCCAAAAGTGTGATTTACAGGAGGTTTCAACAGTCTCCAGGTGACAAAAGCATGGCTAGGGCATTTTGTGGAAAAGAAAAAAATAAATAAATAAATAAAATTAGATAGATAGGTAGACAGATAGACAGACAGATAGATAAAGAAGCTTAAGTGAAATAAGTTGTCTTATAATAAACAGGAAAATTGTAATATATTCCCTTTTTTCAGTAAATGTTCTACATTCAATTATGCAAGTTCAAACATCTACAGCATTAAGTACAGTTATGTATTGTCATTGGCCAGTACATCGTGCCGACTAGATTATGGCCATACCTGTACACTATCTTCATTTTTTCCAAACTCTTTAGAAGAAAAAATTTGTTCTCCTCCTTTACCTTTCTGACTCTAAATGAAATGATATATTACTTCTGTTTATACATAAGCACCAATGATTTTCGGTAACTTGACTCTTTATCTTTTCCACACCAATAGGAACAGGCAGAAGTCTTTTAAGTGAGTGTACAGCACAGGAGGGGTATTTGTCATCACACAAAACAAACTTACCCATAATTTTCAATCACATCTAGGAGGCCTATGATTTGAGGCAATATATTGCCAAATTTCAGGACACACTTCATAAGCAGTCAAACGCTTCAATCTGCATAAACACATGGCTCAAGATAGTTTTATACCAACACTACTGCTGATGGCTATATGGGGGCAGAGGAGGTTTGGTGACACCTGACATCACGCATTTCTCATTCTTTAAAGTAGATACAGTTACAATTTGGTATGTGCATAGCTTTTCCACATATTTTTTTCAGAATCTCCGGTGTCTGTTTATGTGGGGTTTTCCTTCTAGGA